AAACAAAAATATAAAAAGAATTCCTTATAATACAAGTACTCTTTATTTATGCTCCAGTCTTAATAGAGGGATATATTTTAAAAATGCAACCCAATAAAACAGGACAGGATAGGAAATACATGTATAAGGGAAATATTTCATAACAAATTACATATACATGTACATACCAAAAGCTTTAAAGATCCACATGAGGCCTAACAGAGGGACAAGGAGCTGAAGCAACCAAATGTTCATCCAGACCCGTGTAAGAACGAGGGCCCAGAATAAGTACACAAAGTATTTAGTACTCCCGGGGCCTTTATCCTCCACAACTCGTACAGTCTTTTTCTTGGTGGATCTAACTTTTGGGGTGGTGGATTCTGGTTTAGGGAGTGGCAGGTTGGTTGGCTTTACAACACCAGCAGATTTCTGACTTTTGTCTGTATGGAAAGGTTAACAATTTCAACATGAAACAATGTTCAATATACATGTACCAGTTGTTTATTGGGAAATTTCTGTATCTTAAAATTTTTGTGATTTGAATCTCTAATCTTAAGTTCTGTGCCTGCATTTTTTGTACTTTTTTTTAAAGTGCAAAAATACAGAACTTGAACATTTTGCAGTTCTTTCATTTGAAAAAAAAATGAAAAGGCCACAAAAATTTGACAACATATTATAATAAAGTGTCTGTGCAGTGAAAGAGTAAGAAATCTACCTGTCTCCTCACTGAAGCTTTCGGTGGTAGAGACCTCTGAGGAGGAGTCCATAATGTCAGTGTCGGACTCCTGTCCCTGTCTTAGGGCCCTCTCCAAGTCCCCCGTAAACACAGTCCAAATAGCCAGCACATCAGATATACTATGTCCTGGTAGAAAAAATTAAATGCTTAAAAAAATACACTACACCATGAATTAATAACTGATTTATTGGTATCTATAGGATTTTAAATGTTTTAAAAAGCAATATATACATCTTGAAAATTTTTCAATCATTATTACATAATATTCAAGGGCATAAAATTTTCTTTAGGCAAGCAAACTATCTTTACCCTATTAACATTCTGAGTTCATAAGAATTTTGGGTTCATTTTCATTTGTAAAATTAAATATAATTTTAATTAAAGTCGTTGAACATGTTGAAAAAATATATGATTGTACATTGCATTTGCATATCAACTTGAGGACAACCTTGTTCGTCCACTCTTCGCTTTATTTCTTTTACTTCACTTGCAAATCCAGTGGCAATCAATCCGATTATTAAGAGAAACAGTGGGACGCGGAGAGACCCGGCTACCGTGGCTATGTGAAGAATTAGCACACCCCAAATAGGCAGGGACAAGAGACGTAAATACTTCTTAGATTCAGCATTCCACAGAAAGATGACAACAATTAGATAGGCTACTACAAGAGTCCATACCTGAAAGAGATAATTTGTACAGTAATTAAATGGACATTGGTAGTTTCTGACATGACGTTTGCACTATAGCTTTGCATTTATACATGTAACAGTAAAGAGAAAATAAAAGAAGAGTTAAAAGTCTTTACTTTTTTGAATAACAAATATAATTATATGTTTCAGAAATAAGTATCTTCATGTTTTTTTTTTCTAAGCTCATACCGATTTTTAAGGAAATCGTACCAAAACCGGAGAATAGCATTCATAAGAATTTCACAAATTATTTTTTGCTAAGTAACCATGGAAACAAGTAAGAACAATTTATATTACCAATAATTAGGATTATGAATTTTAATGTAGTCTACAGTGTAAAAAGTACAAAGTTTTGTAGAAATCAGAACACTGAGATTTTGCAATTAAAAAAAAATCTTCTGATAAAAACTTAAAGTGAGCCAAAATGATCAATGTATTTTCAGTGCATATATTCACTTAGTTTCCATCACATATCAAAAACTAATTATATAGAACCTTTAACCCTCTGAATTTCTCTCTTTGGGATATGCCACATCATCTAAATATATGGATTATGCAATACATATTTAAGCAAATGCAAAGTGAAAAGTTACCCAAAATGATGTAAAATAATCCAGAACTTCAGAGACGAAAATAAACACTGCATAACACATTTCCAGTATACTTCTTACTGGGCCAAAATACCACAAAATGTAAATCAAAAATAAACTTATAATTCCTCCACATAGTAATTTCCAGTGTCTAACAATAGTACGATCAAATATCATAACATAAGTATAGTCAAGAGCTTGTATTGGTAAATATGCTATTCCTATAGCAAAAGGTGTCCCTGATTCTTGTAAACCACGTAACCATCGTCTTAATATTGCTGTTAATTCACGTTTGAAGGGGTACAGAAATGTTCCACACAACACGGACCATAACAAAGGTCGGAGGAAAGCTTCTAGAATGAAATACACAGCGATAGCTGATCCTCCAGCAAGTAAAACAAAAATATTGGCTGCTGTCGTGTATAGTGCTTGCTGAAATGCTTTTTCATGGCCCTGCGAAAGACTTTGCAACATTGAATTCACGAAAGGGGACTTGGCCATCTTGAAAGTATTCTATGGTTAACTCTTTCATAAACACATTCGTATTCTAAGAAAAGAAGAACTAGAGAAAAGAGAATATAATTTTATGAATTATTATCAGCATTACCTCAGACAAATATCTTATATAAAGATGAAATGCTGTCTTACTAAATATTTAACAATAACCGAGAATTTCATCATTGCTGAAAGTTATCTGCTAGTCGTACGTGTTAACAATTGTGTACTTTCATTTTGAGCAAAATGGATTTTGTTGACGTGCAAGTTGCCGGCGAAAAGAAATACGCAAAACAAGATGACATACCCATTCAGTATGGTACAGCCGGATTTAGAACAAAAGGGAATCGTCTGAAGCATGTGATTTACAGGATGGGTGTCTTGGCAGCCATTCGATCTGCCTGTAAAAATGGAGCCACGATAGGTGTCATGATTACTGCTTCACACAACCCGGAAGAAGATAATGGTGTCAAGCTGGTGGATCCAATGGGGGAGATGCTTGGTCCAGAGTGGGAAAAATACGCCACTGAAATCGCAAACGTTCCTGACAAAGAGCTTGGTTCCGCCCTACAGGCCTTGGTGAAGGCTCTCGGAGTAGCAAGTCTCAGCAAGAGTCGAGTGGCGTTTGCCCGAGACACAAGACCAAGCAGTCCGGCCTTGGCAGAAGCCCTGGAGGCAGGAATCAAAACAGCAGGTGCCCAGTGTCAGAACTTTGGACTGCTTACTACCCCACAATTGCATTATATTGTCCGGTGTATTAACACTAATGGAGAGTATGGAAAGCCAACAGAAGATGGTTACTTTGAAAAGCTCACAGGGGCTTTCATCAAATTGAGAAACATGAGAAAAACAAAGAAGATGAAAACACTAGAATCTTATAATGCCTGTCTTTACCTGGATGCAGCAAATGGAGTAGGAGGAGGAAAGGTCCCTGTCCTGCAGGCCAAACTAGGGGAACTCCTAAAGATCAACCTTGTGAATGACGGAAGTGGTAAACTGAATCACGACTGTGGGGCTGACTTTGTTAAAGTTCAACAGAAGCCTCCCGCTGGAGTCAGCTTGGCTCCTGGACAGAGATGGGCTTCATTTGATGGTGATGCAGACAGAATAGTCTACTACTTTCTTGGTGTTACAGATAAAAAGTTTCATCTCCTAGATGGTGATAAAATTGCAACATTAGTGGCTGGGTACCTTAAAGATCTTGTTCAAGAGACAGGACTCTCTGTCAATCTTGGGATAGTTCAGACTGCCTATGCTAATGGCAGCTCCACTAGCTACATCACAGACACGTTAAAGGTCCCAGTGGCTTGTGTTCCAACAGGAGTGAAGCATCTTCATCATAAAGCACAAGAATTTGACATCGGGGTCTACTTTGAAGCCAACGGCCATGGTACAGCTTTAGTGAGTGACTCTTCATATGCTCTCTTGCAGAAATCAGTTAAAGACACAAAACTGATAGAAAAACAAAGAGAGGCTTGTGATTTACTGCTTTGTGTCATAGACTTGATCAATCAAACTGTAGGTGATGCAATATCTGACATGCTCCTTGTCGAGATGATCCTAGCTGGCCTGGACTGGGATGTGGAACAGTGGAACAAAGCCTACACAGATCTTCCTAATAGACAGCTCAAAGTCAAGGTCAAGGACCGCTCTGTGATCCAAACCATTGACGCCGAGAGAAAAGCCTCCACTCCCCCAGGTCTTCAGAACGCCATTGATGACCTTGTAGCCCAGTACACTCGCGGTCGTTCCTTTGTGCGGCCCTCTGGGACAGAGGACGTCGTCCGTGTTTACGCGGAGGCTGACTCACCGACAGCTGCTGATAAGCTGGCCTATGAGGTTGCTGTTCTGGTCTACAAGATGGCGGGAGGTGTGGGGGAGGAGCCTAAAGCTCCAGAATAATAGCAGGGAATTATGGGACTTTAAAGAGGGTTATTGTTAGGCCTATGTGATATCTAAGGCAACAGAACAAGTGCATGTAGCTTTAGTTTTAGGGCCTGTTAATCTGGATACTTTGATTAATTATTTTTTCTAAATAAACATGATAAATGTGGGTTTATAGTTCGTTTACCAAAGATTTATAGTGCTTACTCAATGATTTTTTTAAGGTTGATCAGTTTAGTACATTGATCATGATGATAATTTCATTGATTAATTGATGTGATTGTTTTGAATGAAATGATGTATGTTAATTTTTTTTTTTTAATTGACATTCCATGACTAAAAGTCAGGGCATTATTTATAAAATTATTTTATAAAAAACAAATTGATCTAAGTTGTGATTAGCGCATTGTGATTATTTTTATAATTTTACAGTTGTATCATTTTGGTAGTGCATTTAAGGTGTATTTCAATTATTTCGCTTTGAATAAAGCTGTAGTTTGTACAACAAAGTCCTTCAATATTCACTCTTTTTGGAGACAGCTGACATCATAGTAAAATGAAGCACATGCATAGCTTAAAAGAAACATGCAATAAAACAGGAAAGTAATATCATAAAAATGGTTGAAAACAAAAATGTTGTGCCAGATAAACAGAACATACACAATATTTAATGTAGCTTTATTCAATTAGTGGACATGAGTAAACCTTGTACATAGTCATATGACATTTTATGACATTTAATGACGGAACTGAACACTCTGTCAAAGGGAACAATCAGCCTGTCAATAAATTCGAACATTTTCAATAGTAAAAGTTCTTTAGAAAAAAAAAGATTGGTGACAACGAGTTACACAAATTCAATCTATCATTAAATCAAATGTTGAGGGAGGTTTTTCAAATTGTTAGGCTTTCATTTACACACTTTTGTCTACATTTAAAGAGCTATGTTCGTGGGGATTTCAGAAAAAATGATTTCAATTCTATCATTGTAAAAACATTGCAAACATTCATTTCTACTCTTATACTGACCCTTTTCAGCTAAAAGGGGATTAAATGGCACATGTCCTTGGATAATTTTTAAACAAATTTAACTTAGTGGATAAATGTATCAGCATTCAAAGTAGTTATTGACAAAAATATGAATTTACATCTTTATTTCAAGTTTAATAATGTCAATTTTATTTGAACCCCGATTCAACAAAATTTACTAGTAAGGCAAAAAAAAATTAATTTCTTGGTTCTCAGGCCCTCCCTCATCTCTTCCAAGGGTGCCTCATTGACCCTTTTTTATTGCTAAATCAATAAAATATAAACACCAAACCACCTCCCTCATCATTTTTTGAGGTTTTGTACAATGTAAAAAGCTGCCTCATCATGTTTTGGGGGGCAATAAAAAAGAAAAAAAATGCCTCCCTCCCTCATCATATTTCTTGAAAAAAGGCCTGAGAACCAAGTAATTAACTTTGCATGGCCTAAATGCTCTGAGGTAATAGAAAAGATTAATAAGATGCTAGCGTTCTTCAATGACAATATATAATTTATAGCATGGTACTTATTATCGCCCAAATATTAGCCAACGTGTTTTTTTAGCTCACCTGAGCTGAAAGCTCAAGTGAGCTTTTCTGATCACATTTTGTCCGGCGTCCGTCTGTCCGTCCGTCTAGCTGTCCGTCTGTCTGTCTTTAAACTTTTCACATTTTCGACTTCTTCTCAAGAACCGCTGGGCCAATTTCAACCAAACTTGCCACAAAGTATCCTTGGGTGAAGGGGATTCAAGTTTGTTCAAATGAAGGGCCACGCCTTCATTCAAGGGGAGATAATTGGGAATTAATGAAAATTTGGTGGCATATTTTAAAAATCTTCTTCTCAAGAACCACTGTGCCAGGAAAGATGAAACTTATGGAGAAACATCCTCAGGTAGTGTAGATTCAAGTTTGTTCAAATCATGACCCACGGGGTTAGGGCGGGGCCAAAATGGCCGACCAAAGTTTTACATAGAAATATATAGGAAAATTCTTTAAAAATCTTCTTCTCAAGAATGACAAAGCCATAATTCATCATATTTATATGGAAGCATGCTCAGGTAGTGTAGATTCAAATTTGTTCAAATCATGACCCCCGGGGGTAGGGCGGGGCCAAAATGGTCGACCAAAGTTTTACATAGAAATATATAGGAAAATTCTTTAAAAATCTTCTTCTTCTCAAGAATGACATAGCCATAATTCATCATACATATATATATGGAAGCATGCTCATGGTATTGTAGATTCAAATTTGTTCAAATCATGACCCCCGGGGGTAGGGCGAGGCCAAAATGGCCAACCAAAGTTTTACATAGAAATATATTGGAAAATTCTTCAAAAAATCTTCTTCTCAAGAATGACAAAGCTATAATTCATCATATTTATATGGAAGCATGCTCAGGTAGTGTGGATTCAAGTTTGTTCAAATCATGACCCCCGGGGGTAAGGCGGGGCCAAAATGGTCGACCAAAGTTTTCAAAGATATATATATATATATAGGAAAATTCTTTAAAAATCATTTTCTAAAACATAACAAATCCATGATTGGTCATGGGACTACTTTTGGATTTAAACTTTACAGTAAAAAACCATTTTCTACTTTTTCCTACCCTTAGTGCTCAGGTGAGCGATGTGGCCCATGGGCCTCTTGTTATTTTTTTTGAAGCGGAAATTAATACATGTATGCAAAACCTTGTACATGAAACATATGGAGGTAACGAACAGTATTCAAGCTTAAAAGTCCATTAAACAATACAAAATAGGAGCAGAGCAAACACGGAGCTCTAAAACATCAGAAGTGAGATCAGGTGCCATGGAGGAGTGAGCATCCCCTGCCGACCGGTCACACCCGCCGCGTACTCCTTGTCATGAGCGGGAAATAACGGAAAAATCCGTCGACAATTCATTTTGTAAATAAATTGTTTTTGCTGACAATTTCGTTGTATCGACAAAAGAACTTAGGAAAAGACTTTAAACGAGACTGTTGATATCCTTGTTTCATCTACTTGTTTGTCAATAATTTACTTCGTTGTAGAAATTGTATGTATATGTAGACTATGCCCTTTTGTATCGAATCAACTGAGATATATACACTCCGTATGCAGGTGATGAAAGTATATTGCTGCATAAGTAAGGGAAGT